ATGAATTGTAGATAGTAGTATACATTTAGAATAACGAATAGTACTCGTAAGGTAACCCGGAATCAATGGGACATTTTCACAATATAAATTATAATTGTGCGTTATAAATCTACGTAAATAAAATTGAAAATTTTCGTTTGTTCAAAATCATAAATCTCCAAAAGTTTTTTTACCGATTACTTTGAAATTTTGACAAAATAGTGAATACAAACACGCGCGTGTTTTTATATACCTTTCGAGTAACTTTTCGGGCCACAGTGTCGCGTGAAGAGCACTATAAAATAAAGTAGTTCAGCAAAAAAATTCCCGTATACTCGTCTCACATACAGACACGTATTCGCGCTCTTTGCACCGATAAAATTTGGAAAAATATAGCTTTTTCTCTTTTCTAGATTCATTTCATTAGCTTTAATGACGTTTCTTTATCAGCGGCTTCAAATTTCGCCGCTTGGCATGACCTTTCCCGTTGTAGGCAGGAATTGCCATATTCGCCACGCTTGTCAATAGGATTGGCGATCGCAGTGGCAGATGTTGCTGGTTTGGAAATTTTACGTCTGGCGTTAATAACATGTTTTAACACCATTTGTCGAAAGCCACGCATATTTCTGGCATTTTCTATAGTCCTTTTACGATATTCTCGGAACGAAATAGGTGATAGATCATTATTTCGTCCACCACATGGTAAACTTATTTAAATTGCTGTAAAAATTATGATATACAATATAAACCTTGTTCGTCTAACTAATGAGCGTTATCGTTATTTGACATTATAAAACTATTTTTAGAGAATATATAAACCTCGTTTTATTAATAAGTCTTAGATGTTTATAAAGGCAAGTATTAAGAGCTACTGCGGCAATCTGCAGAGAGGCCGCTAATGAGAGTTACATTAAAAATGGTCATTATTTTTTTACTGACAGTCGTACGCGGGACACGAATTTAGACTTTTCAAAGTGAGTGCCTCATTCTCTTTTTGGCTCTTCTCCAACCATCATCAAACCCGCCACAATAGTTATGTTATAATAGGGTTGGACGATGTTTTTAAGCGATTCTTTAATTTGTTCCCGATTATTTAAAATAATTTATGAGTTTCTGCTTTTTGAACAAATTTCCATCGAGTTACAAAAACGAGGTTCCATATTCGATGCGTATGTTTTTCATGTATTTTTGCCGAACTTTAAGAAAATATTTTACAACTAAGGGTGGAAAAACAGGGGATGAAGTTTTAAATGTGGTAATTTAAATGACATTCTAACTGTTACCTTGTGACTTTGTCTTTATTTGTGATATTCGTAATAACACTAAACGGTAAAACAATGAAATTAAAAAAAAAAACAAAAAAAAACAGACTTTAAAAACAAAAAAGAATAAATAATTTCCACATAATAGGATTGCTTCCGACGGTGGGTCTTTAATTCTTCCATACACTATGTCTTTCCAACGATAAAATAAACATTTTAAAAGTCACTCAGTGGCATAGCATTAATAGCTGTTGGGCGAGACCATCAGATCCAAAATAAAAACTCCAAAGGAAAAAGATGCAAAGGTCCAAAAAACCCCTGTCCTTTTCATAAATATCAAAAAATTTGAAATCGGTAAAAATCTTCAAATAATGTGTAATATTTTTACCGATTTCATATTTTTAAAATTATATTTATATATTGAATAACTTTTACGGATTCTATCGCGTTTTGATTTCATATATTTACGCGAACACTACACATTGAATAAAACTACTTTTACGGATAAAACGCGATAAAATCCGTAAAAGTAGTTTTACTTTATTATTTTTATATATTATTTAAAAATGAATATAACAATGTAATGTTGTTTTTATACTTATTGCCCTTGGCAAGTGTGTATCTACGCAGATGTTGTTTATTATCAATGCTATTAATAGTGACATTGAGAGCTATATTTCTTTTCCTAAATATTGCCCCCTAAAATATGCCGATGAGGCCCATAGCCTCCCTGCTATGATAAGCTACTAAGTAGCTGTTTCCAACCTTTATCACTACAATATCATTTAGAAAATGTGAAAAATCATGAACTTTGAGTAATAGAGTAGGGAGATGGCGTAGAATTGAAAGGAAGGAAAATTTCTGATCCAATCGATTGTTACTAACAGTTTAATAACTTAATTAGTGATGTGATAAACCGGATCACTATTCAGTCATAAAGAATATTTGGTACTGGACCGATTTCTTATTAATTAAAATATCGTCTTTGTAGACAAACCAAAACTGGTGACTTAGAACAACGAGTATATATAAAAGGTGTCGAGTGCTGGAGTCGCAGACTACAGGTCTCTGCGTCAGCTACACGGAAAATGAGAATTTTTCGAAGCAACTTCAGTCTACCATCTGGTTATTTTTAGAGCATATAAATGCAATCGAAAATCAGCAAATATCGTCACATTTACTATAATATTATTCCAAGCACAACCATCATTCTAACATTGCAATAGCATTGACAATGTCCCAAGGGTTAAAGATTAAACTTACACATTGGCATGGATCCAAATAACCTCTGGCTGCCAACCCGCAAAGCGTAGCAACGTAGCAACTATGGCAAATAATTCGGCAATGGACTTTTGGTAGGCTGTAACAGCAAGACTTCTAAAAATAAGACTTTATGACAAAATTACTGGAGTACTATACTATTTTTTGCTTTCAGAAAAAGGTAAGAGAATGTGGTACTTTTTACACAATCCCCATAATGGTAAGTGGTTGATGTGGCCAATAGAGACCTATTATACATTTATCTTCAGTTAAGAATCAAATGCAGACACGTTCTCACACCTAAGGACTAAGATAGAATGTCTCGTTGCTACTACTAATTAGTCACACAGTCAACAAGGTGATTCTTGTGTTTTAGTTTGTAAATTTTAGCAGAAAAAAAAACCAAAATATTTATGTATTAGTAAGCAATAATAATGTCCTCTTCACTAGTTATCTGAGTAGGATAGAATTATAGTGAACGAGTGTGTACAGAATCACAGGTACGTTCTCTCACTCTCATAGTTATAGTTTTTTTTTCATAGGATAGGGGTGACAGTGAGTACACAGTCCACCTGATGGTAAGTGGTTGCTGTGTCTCATAGATATCTACATATCTTTGTTTGCGAATCAAAATGCAGATGCGTTGTCAGCCATGACGACTAAGATGGAATGTCTCTTTTCCAATAAAAAGGGTCTGCGGTTCTCTACACTCACCATATAAAACACAGCAGCATTAGGCTGCTATTTTACACTGGTATTCTGTGAGAGCGTAGTCCTTCGCTGGTCGAGTCGACCCATTCATGGTACAACTATACGATTAATATAGCTGCAGCATGGCTCTATCACGTAAATGCCAATCCGACACAACCGGAGAGAGATCACGTGCACCTGCTTTCCAAGGTACGGGGTTAAAAAAATCGTCAACTTACTGATGAAAGCTGCTTCTGAGAATTTCTTGTCAGAAGACTATAATGTAACTTTGCTCGACCCGGGATTCAAACCCAGGACCTTATCAGCTGCCGCACTTAGGACTGCTGCACCAACGACTACACTTTTAATCCTTACGTGATAACTACGTAAGGATTAAAAGTTGTCTAGTAATTCTGATAAAACCAGCCATATAGTATCAAACCTGTCGGCCATTACTATCACATATATATAACACATATATAAAGCTTAGTCTTTATCAAAGAAGGAAACATCAAGGCCAATTACATTAGTTCCTCAGCTTGCGTGCACATAGATTATTAACGTCATTTCTTTCATAATAATTCTTGTTTTATATAACAATAGATTTCCGAACTTGTAATAGTTTAACGTGGTATAAGGTTGCTCGCTGTATAAGGGTGCTGAGTCGAACATGTACACGCAACCCTGAAATTTACCATTTAATTGGGCTCCTTATCCCATTACATTTCACTTGATGACCGCATTTGTGTATAGTTTTCGTAATGGACAAATTATTTCGCTATTTGTGTTGTGCGTTAAATTTAAATTATACATTGTAGTAAATTATTAATGTTGGTGTCGTTTATACAGCTAATCATCGGATTCGACAAAAGCCCGATCTTTTAACCGGAATTATTTTAGCTTATTTTTTTTAGTTTTTTTTTAAAAAGCTGAATGTACTCCGGTTTAACTTTGACATCGGGACGTCAATCACCTCAGTCCCCCGTGACCACGGTTGCTGGAAAGCAACCGACACGTCGGGAATATAAAATAAGTTAATTAAACGCGATAAAATCCGTAAAAATAGTTTTATTCAATAAAAAAACGTAAAAAATTAGATGTCTCCCTATTTTTTTTGAAGTCACCTAAAAAGGTAATAAAATTGTATACCTAAGTTCTATTGAATCCTTTTATAAAAATCTTTTTGTTAGCTGTTGGAATAAAATTGGTGTGTGACAATAATTAAAAATTAAAAATTTTGTACAACCGACTTCAAAATAAATTAATAAAGATAACTCAAAAACTATTGGTCAGGCCTTGATCAAATTTCTATGCGACCACATGAGAACCACTAGCTTTCAAATAAAAAAGAATCATCGAAATCGGTTCATCTTAAAAAAAGGTATGAGGTAACATACATAAAAACTATAAAAAACAACGTACAGTCGAATTGAGTACCTCCTCTTTTATTGAAGTCGGTACAAAAGTTGCCTTTTATTTCCCTTTATATTTATATATTTCGTTATGTTTATCTTTCTTTGATCATACGCCATCATATCGCTTGCATTATAACCACGACAGGCGCTATTTCACGCTGGTATTCTGTGTGTTGTATATTTCAAAACCTCCAAACATTCCATCCATTTAAATATATATAGATGTCTTCAAGGCAAGAGTGGATAGGCTTTAAATCAGAGCGCTCTAGCATCTTCCACTTCACCACTTACAACAGGGTCTAGTGCTGGTTTAGGGGGAATATTTATCATTTTCGACTTCACCAAGGTCTAGTGTTAGCTTATAATAGTTAAAAAAATTAAGTTGAGTACTTACCCAACAGTAACATCAAAAATGTTGCTCCCCACGGAGCTCGAGACGGCCATATCACCGAAGCCCTTTCTGGCGACGATGACGGACGTGATGAGGTCGGGCACCGACGTCCCGGCCGCCAGCAGCGTCAGCCCCATCACCTCGGGCGGTATCTGCGCCGTCGCGCCGGCCACATTCGCCCACCAAACCATAAGGTACGAGAAAAACGCTATCCAAACTATAGACCCTATAAATGTTATAGGGAACAGATTTTTCCCTGTGAAAGAAAAATACATTTGTTGTTTTATAAATAAAGATATAACTCGTCGTGTGGTTGGCGACTAATGACGGGTTTCTATCTTTTTAAACGCTTTGATTTCTTTCTTGACAGCCGGCCGTTATGCAGTATTACTGCATAACGGCCGTCATAAAAATGCGCATAAAAATCTTTTTTTCTACCGGCTTCAAACAGAAGGAGATAATAATCGACTGTGTGTTTTTTTATACGTGTTACCTCATAACTTTTTACTGGGTGAACCGATTTCGACGATTCTCTTATTTGAAAGCTGGTGCTTCACATTTGGTCCCATATAAATTTGATCAAAGCCTGATCAACAGTTTTTGAGTTATTCTTAATAATTTATATTAAAGTCGGTTGTACAAAATTTTTAATTTTAGGTTATCTAAAACAAAATTCCAGTTAAACTATTTATAAATCGTTTAAAGTTTTTTACAAATAAATAAAATTGAAGTGTCCGTTTGTAATGTCAAAATAACAGATTTTACTAAATGCATATGAAAGTATATACGGTACTAATAACAAGAAAATGATTTTTTTTAATATTTCTGTATATCTGTCTGCCTGTCTGTTTGTTGCGGCTAATATGCGAAACAGCTGGTCTGATTTTGACGGGACGTTCACTGGCAGAGAGCTGATGTTATAAGGAGTAACTTAGGTACTTTTATTTTAGAAAAAGAATTAGGGTTCCGCGCAAAAAAATTAAAACCCATGAAATCCAATCGCAATAAATTTCACGCGGGCGAAGTCACGGGGGACAGCTAGTCTTTAAATAAAGTAGGCGAATTTTTGTTGCGAATGGAATTAACAAGCGTGAAGAAAAATTATTGGTTTTGTGCACGCTTAATCCACGTCACAGATTCCACCCTTTCTACGCAAAAAACAGCAATTAATCTAAAAATCAAAATACCTTTAGATTTAAAAATAAAACCGACCGCAATCCTGACAAGAGCCCAATAGTACTGACCTATCAGGATAAATGACATATGGTATCTCTAATTACAAGTCACTGTTGTATATAGGCGCAACCCACGGAATACCACAAATCACGATTCTGAGCCACCTGTCATATACAATCCATCGAATCCTTGCACCTTTAACCGGGTATCCACCTAATAGGTGGCCGCCCCACTCTTCGCATACCAGTACGAGGCTGTCACTCGAGATAATAATTTGCCTATCGGAAAAGCATAATATACTCAGTACTTAATGCTTAATCAAAGTGGTGTTTGTTTATTTAGACCACTACCTTTTTTCCCATAAGTAATTGTAACAAAAAATGCGTGAATGTCGTGGAATACTCGGTTGGACCGAAGTTCCTTGCGTAGTATATTATTATTGATAAAAGTAAGTACTATATTATTGATTAACAAGTACAAATAAATAAATTACTAGAGTCTATTAAAATGAAGCGTCATTTGAAATAAAATAATATTTCTTTCATGGCAAGATAAGAAAAAGTGCGAGGGAGATGGATATTATTCCATCTCACTTCTTTATTTCGCCGCCAAGGCCGTCTACACTACGACACAAGGGGTAGTGACGAAAAAATCTTATATTTTTTGTCGCTTAGCTCCCATCCGTCTAATGCGTACCGTCCGATAAGCAACTTCGTTCCAAAAATTTCATAAATAAATAGAATTTAATCTCATTAGGATACCTGCAGGAGTCAGTCCTATTCTACGGTTGGTTTAAAAACAGAAAGCGCTTATATATACTATTATTATAAAGAGGTAAATTTTGTGAGTTTGTTTGTAGGCAGTAATCTCTAGTACTACTGAACCGATTTAAAAAAATTGTTTCACAAGTAGAAAGCTACATTATTCCTGAGTAAAATAGGCTATATTTGATTGTTATTAATAATATTTGTTAATGTGAAATAACATTATTTGTCAATCAATTCCGAAAATAAATCCTAAACACTCAGTACTAAGAACCACACAAGATAATTTCATCGCAAGTAAAAATGTTTGACGCTCAACAAAGTGGGCACGGGTCAGCTAGTTTTATATAAAAGGAGGTACTGGAATGTTATAAATTTAAATTAATGCAGCGACGGACACTAATTTTTCTCTTGGTAGACACTTAGCAAGACCAGCAGATTGCAGCAATCTAAAATTATAGCTTATCTTACTAAGACAATTTTTTACTTTTAATATTTAACACAAGGTTTAAATGTTAATAAGATTTTTTCTTATTGCTTTAATAAAACGTTACCCTCGATACCAGAAATTGTCATTGTCCAAGAACAAACATCCAGAACCCGGAACATATATTTGTAGACCGTACAAATACTAGTTCCACACGGGATTTGATACGGCGGCCCTTGTCCCGGGCTTTGTTCCTCAATGCTGAACTTTTGCGCCATAGAGCTGCCAAATTCGTCGAAAGGTTGATATTCATCTATTTTTAAAATATTGATATCATTAAGTAGAGTGTACATGATCGGGCATGTTATTTTAGCAATTACGTTGTTAATAGTCAAATTGAGTGTTCATTTGTAATTGCATTTTATATTTAAGTTCTACTTAACAAGTAGTAAATTTTTTTTTACAACCGACTTCAATCTAAATAATATAAGAACATCATCAACGTAGTCCAAGTCAATTAAATACGCATTATTACGGATAACTCAAAAATTACTAGTCAGACTTGATCAAATTTATTTGAGAACACATTAGAAGCATCAGTTTTCAAATAAAGAAAGAACCATCAAAATCAGTTTACCTAGAAAAAAGTTATGAGGTAGCACGCATAAAATAATTTAAAATTAAAAATTTTGTACAACCGACTTCAATATAAATTATTAAGAATTACTCATAAACTATTGGTGAAGCCTTGATCAAATTTATATGGGACCTTGTTGAAGCACCAGCTTTCAAATAAAAAACGAATCGGCGTAATCGGTCCCCCAGTAAAAAGTTATGAGGTAAGACACATAAAAAAATCATACAGTCGAATTGAGTAGGTACCGTCTCCTTTTTTAAGTCGGTAGAAAATACAGTCGACCAGAGTACCTCCTCCTTTTATTGAAGTCGGTTAAAAATATTGCAGATATTTAATATGTTTTGTTGGTGTCCCAAATACATAAATAAATAGATAAAATAAATCATAACATAAATAAATGAAATGTAATAATACTTTTTATATTACAACAGTGTTTTAAAATGCAAAGTACGAAAGTTGAAAGAACAGACTTATCTTTCCGATTTATTGTTATGATCATGGCATTGAAGATGAGTTGTGGTCAAGTAAGATGAGAAGGGATTTACTAGAATTCCAACAGCAATAAAATCGCGTTCACTTGGCCCCGACGGGGAACGATTCTAGGAGATTACTATTGAGTTTTTATTTGCCCTTCCGGGCGAAACATAAAACACAAATAATTTTGACCGTTTATTTTATTGCAATGTCTCCCTTCATCTCTGAAATAGAACTTTTCTTTTAATGAATTCTTATATTTACGCGAATACTATAACTTGGAAAAACTAATTTACGGATATTTTATATAGAAAAAGAGTGACAAACGAGCACGCAGTCTACGAAATAGTAAGTGAATGTTGAGGCCTATAGACATCTTCATCTAACCTTGTTTATGGATTAAATGCAATTAATTGAATGTTAAAAGTACAAGGCCGCCACTCGAGAACTTTTTTACCCCATCGGTTGTCGGTTCTTCGAGCTATATGCCACTTCAGCTTACTAATCCGTTGGGCTATGTCGGTCACTCTGGTTCTACTGCGGATATCCTCATTTCTAAGTTTATCGCGCAGAGAAACCCCGAGAATAGCCCTCTCCATAGCTCGCTGAGTGACCTTGAGCTTCCTCATACGGCCAGCAGTGAAGGACCACGTAAGATCAGATCCGTAAGTCATCACTGGCAACACGCACTGGTTATACAATTTCGTTTTAAGGTTTTGAGGTATGTCTGACGAGATGTGTCGTAGTTTGCCGAACGCTGCCCAGCCGAGTTGAATCCGTCGTTTGACCTCTCGGTCGAAGTTGGACTTACCTAGTCGGACTATTTGTCCCAGGTAAACATACTCGTCAACAACTTCGAGCTTAGTGTTCCCAACAAGTACCGGCATAGGTTTGATATGGACGTTACACATGACTTTTGTTTTGTTCATGTTCATCTTAAGACCTATCCGTTGGGAGACACTATTGAGGTCATTGAGCAAAGTGCTTAGGTCCTCTAGTGATTCCGCCATAAGGACTATATCGTCGGCAAATCGAAGGTGAGTGATGTACTCGCTATTGACGTTAATACAATATCCTTTCCAGTATAATAGCTTGAAAACGTCTTCCAATGCAGCGGTAAAGAGTTTCGGGAATATAACGTCACCCTGTCTTACACCTCCCTGCAGTTGGATAGGTTTCGTACTCTGGTTCTGTACTGGGATATCCATCGTAACCCTCCTGTACAAACACTTCAGTACTTTGAATATACCGACAGTCAACTTGGCACCGCTAAATGGTCCGCAGCACCGCCCAAATTTCGACGGAATCAAAGGCTTTCTCATAGTCCACATATACCAGACACAGTGGCAGATTGTACTCCTCGGATTTCTGTACGATTTATATTTTTCAAGCTATTCGGATAAAATGAAATGAAAAATGTATAAAATGAATGGTTTTCTTTGATTATCATAAATATAAATGACGCTATATTAACAGATCTCTAGTAAGTACTTAATAATTTTATACCTCTCGGCGTCCTTGTGTCCGGGAGGGTCACCCAGAGTGGGAAGACAATTGGCGCGACCAACAGGTACGTTAGCCGCTTGCGGAAACCCGAGGGCCACGACATGTCCAACGGTGTCGTGTCATCCTCGAGGTCACCTATCTGTAACATAAAGGATTTTGTCGCATTTTTAATGTAGTTAATCTCCCTCGTTGGTCTACTAGTCATAAACGCGATTGCCAATCACGGGTTCGAATCCCGGGTCGAGCCAAAATCGGCTACTGGGTTTTTATGTCAAGAACTGCTCAGTAGCAGCCCGGAGTCAGGAAGTTGGCTATGTCTCACCCCAGTGCATAGAAAATCACTTAAAGCCGTTGGTCTTGCGCCTGGTTTCTCTCCGGTCGTGTTGAATTACCGTCCCATCGCACTATGAGAGTGAGGCAATAGAGAGTGCTTGCGCATCCACTCGGGCACTGTAATCCTGTTCTGCGCAGATGGTTAATCTCCATTGAAACTGGGCGGCGTGACCGAAATTCGATCTGGAGGACGTTATTATTGATAGGGGATTAGATAGCTATTATTGTCTAGCTTGTTGAGTTGTGCGACGATTTCTTTAGAAATAATTTGCTGTAAAAATTAACTAACTGCCTACATCCACAACCGGGCACAGGTCGCATCTCATTTGGGCACTCAATATTAAATACTCACCGGGGCAGTGCGGCGGTCGCACTGGCCCGGTGAGTATTTAATATTGAGTATTGGCGTACTTCACGTCTTCTAAATATTTTTTTAATTTCTCAGCAGGTTTCAGCATGCAGGTTTTTACACGATGGTTACGTTCACTGTCGAGCACGTCAGCGCTTAAAATTACGTGTCTGCGGGTATTACAGTAAACGCTTAGCCCTTGATCCATCACGACTCCTTAGTTTGTAAATTTTATTAGCTAGAAATTCTTTTAAAGAAAGTTTTTTTCATAGAATGGGGGTGACAAACGTGAACACAGTCCACCTGATGGTAAGTGGATGCTGTGGCAGATGTGTGTGTGGAAGATGTCTATGATCTGCAATTATTTTTTATTAAGAATCAAAATGCAGATGAGTTGTCACCTCTGATGACCAATATGGAATGCCGCTTTTCCAGTATCCAGACATTTTTTTGTTTTTGTTTGAAAACTCAAACTAAATAATTTAAAAAATATTTAATTTGAGCTTTCTTCGAGTAATGCAAATTATTCTCGTTATTTCGCTTTAAATCTTCCAATTTATGCATTTGACGAAAAAAGCTTAGCATTAATTTGCTGTATCTCAGTTGTCGTAGAAAAATTATAAAAAAAAGCATTGTTTTTGTTTTTTTAAAAGCTACAATTTGGCTCTCTACACTTTTTTTTGATAAAATGCATATTTTTAGAGTTATTCACAAAAAACCATTTTAAAAAGTCGATTTTTTCGTCAAAACACTGTTACTTTCAACTTTTAATAAGTCAAAAAATATTAGGTTTACGAAAATAACGTATATAATATTCTTTTCTTAGAATTACATTTTCCATCGATTCCTATACTTAAATTGCAATAAATAAATTCCACTCCCGAGATGGGGTTGCAACCACCCCCAAGGCTCTAGCGTACAGCGGCTGATATAGACAATGATCCTTGAGCTATTCCCTACCCTCTGTGAAAATTTCAAGTAAATCCATGGTGGACGACAAAACTGCGAGCCAAAATGCTTCATTTCCTGGACTAATTAATTAACTAGTTTCGGTTCAAAGTGCACTGCTGAACAAAAATATCCCGATAAACAGCCTTATTAGAGGGATATGTGCCATAGTTGCCACCCTTGGCAGGCGGGTTGGCAACCACTTTTTTTTTTGATTCTCTAGTTGCTGTCAGGAAGACACTGCCGTCCGTTTCATATTGTATATGTATACGTTGTAACCATTTTATTTTATTTCTACTTACACTTCTACTATTTAATTTGTTAGATACGCTGTTTTCAAAATATTTTTCAGATGCTTACTCCTCTATAATTTGTAGGCTTTTCTGCATAGAAGTCTATTTGGGTAGGCCTTGCCACCCACCCACTGCTGTGTTTTAATTTAAAGTGGAAGGGAGCCTGTTTAACTGCACGCTGATAACCTGCAAAAGCAGGTGGACTCAAGATACTGTCGAGGCATATGAATTTTTTTTTATTGGATAGGGTGACAAACGAGCACACAGTTACCCTGATGGTAAGTGGTTGCTGAGGCCCATAGAAATCTATATCTTTTCACAATTACGAATCAAAATGCAGATGCGTTGTCACCCGTGAAGACTAAGATGGAATGCCTCTTTTCCAGTAAAAAAGGTCTCCGGTTCTCTACACTCACCATACGAAATACAGTGGTGTTAAGCTGCTATTTTACGCTGGTATTCTGTGAGAGTGTGGTACTTCCCCGGTCGAGCCGACCCATTCATGCTACAACTATACTACTAATATAGCTGCAGCATGGCTCTACCACGTATAATTTTTTTTTACTTTCACGTTTTAATCTACTTCAGTTGCAATATTCATCTCCTCGGCTTGGGGAAGAAAGGGCGAATTCTGCTGATTTTGTCATTTATAAGAACTTACAGTTTTACATATAACATGATGTTGAACTGAGTTAATACTTTTGAACTATACTTATGTCTGCTTAACTGCCTCAACTGCGTCTCGACTTTGAAGGGGGCGTCGTGATATGTGAAGTGTACCTGCGTCGTTAGGCAAGATTACTTTCTACGATCGTTAACGCTATAGAAACATATAAAAATTAATGGGAATAACATATCAAAATTTTAGTTCACGTGATTTAGTGTTAATTTAATTTATATTTATAGAGTCTTAAAGCGTTGCCAAGTTGACTGTCGGTATATCGAAGTGCTGAAGTGTTTGTACAATAGAGCAACGATGGCTATCCGAGTACAGCATCAGAGTACGAAACCTATCCAACTGCAGAGAGGTGTAAGACAGGGTGACGTTATATCCCCGAAACTCTTCACCGCTGCATTGGAAGACGTTTTCAAGCTGCTGGACTGGAAAGGATACGGTTTTAACATCAATGGCTCACTCACCTTCGATTTGCCGACGATATAGTCCTTGTGGCAGAATCGCTGGAGGACCTAAGCACTATGCTCAATGACCTCAATAGTGTTTCCCAACGGATAGGTCTTAAGATGAATATGGACAAAACAAAAATCATGTTTAATGTCACAACACCTATGCCGGTAGTTGTTGGGAGCACTAAGCTCGAAGTTGTTGACGAGTATGTTTACCTGGGACAAATAGTCCGACTAGGTAAGCCCAACTTCGATTGAGAAGTCAATCGACGGATTCAACTCGGCTGGGTAGCGTTCGGGAAACTACGACACATCTTCTCGTTAGACATACCTCAAAAGCTTAAAACGAAATTGTACAACCAGTGCGTATTGCCAGTGATAACTTACGGATCTGAGACGTGGTCCTTCACTGCTGGCCGTACGAGGAAGCTCAAGGTCGCTTAGCGAGCTATGGAGAGGGCTATGCTGGGGGTTTCTCTGCGTGATAAACTTAGAAATGAGGATATCCGCAGTAGAAACAGAGTAACCGACATAGTCCAACGGATTAGTAAGCTGAAGTGGCAGTGGGCCCGCCATATAGCTCGAAGAACCGACAACCGATGGGGAAGAAAGGTTCTCGAGTGGGGTAGCCTCGTACCGGTAGGCGAAGTGTAGGGCGACCCCCCACAAGATGGAGTGACGACCTGGTAAGACATGCAGGAAGTCGATGGATGCAGGTGGCTCAGGACCGTGCTTTGTGGCATTCCTTGGGGGGGGGGGGGGCTATGTTGATGATGATGATGATGAAAGCGTTAACGATCGTAGAATGTCACCTTGGCTTACCCCGCTGATGAGCATGGTAAATATGCATCCTGTCTTCTAATGGAGATCAATTGATCCATATACTACAAACCATCCATTCTGCGGCGTCATGGGGAATAATAATAATAATAATTTATCATCGCCCATCGCCCGCTGACGTAACAGTTAAGTGACAAAACTGCTATGTCAGCGCAGTCAGTCAGTGCCTTGCCAAGAGGTGTGAGCGCCGTGCCTCAGCAGTATTGAGGGTGCAAAGGCCCGTTTGTGCTTACAGCCACACTATTAAACGGCGCCGGGTCTGGGCGTCTCCCGTTAATTGACGCCCAATTCAATGGATGATGGAAAATAATAGAACGCGCATAGGGCCGCTGCCTGGGGGTCGCCGGGGCGCGTCTGGAGCTGGCGCTGGACGTGACAGCATGCGAGCCGCCAGCCGAGCGCGAGGTGCTGCACCACCACCTAGCAGCCCCTCGCGTCCATCATCCCCACCAGACGGCTTGGTGTCGGCGGGGTCCTCTCGGACTCGGCAAGCGGCACCCGCCGCTGGTGGAGTACGCCGCATGCGTTGGACAAAAAATATGAACATAAACGCATTGCGGGCGTACTATAGGGCGAAAGGGGAAGAAACTGGAGGGATAGCGTATCGGGCTCGGATGCATCGCTTTTTTGCTGAGCTTGAGCCGTCAGTTCCCGTCACGGAGCAAAACCTGGCAGACCGAGTTCGGTACATCATACGCTCGAAAATATTTGATGATGCCGAACTCGAACGACTACGACGTGAGGCTATTCCCTCATCGAATGAACCGGCTATAGCTGGGGATGCGGCTCTTCAGGCCACAGACCAGCAGCCACATATATAGGGCGCCATGGATCTCCCTGCTCTGGTTAATTCAGGCGATGATGGAATGGTCACCCAAGAACTAGAGCAGATGAGGAGTAAATTGGAGGAGGCGATTGTGGAAACGCGCAGTACGCCTCTCGAAAATCGACCGCGACTCCCGCGCATACCCCTAAGCAAGCGGAATCGGGCTGTCGTGAGGGCTCTCAACCCAATGCTGGTCACCTATTTGGAAGCCAGCCGGGACCTTTGCGAGACGGACTCAATTCTTTTTGGCGCCGCACTGGCAGTTTGCCGTATTGTTGGCGCCAAACTTCCCACGGCTGGACGCGCTACTAGACAAAGTAGCGCCATCCCAGCCTGGAGAAGAAGGATTGAGGTCCGTATCGTAAAGGCAAGGGCCCTCATCGGCAGGCTGATAAGCTTCAGGTCGGGCAATAATAGGCCGCGAA